AATATAAATCTTAATTTCAAACCAAATAAAACATTAGAAAGAATGCTTATAAACAATAAGGACAAAATAAATAAACTGGACGACAATGGTGTGTACATACTAGAGTGCGACACTTGTAAAGCAGCGTACATTGGAGAAACAGGCAGAAGCCTTAGAAAAAGAATAAGAGAACATAAACACAAAAATAACTCCAACTTCGGAAATCACTTAACATTTAACTCAAAACATGAATTTAACGAAGATAAAAATTCCAGAATCCTTCATCATATCAATAAAAGTTACTATTTAGAAATAATGGAAAACTATGAAATTAATAAATTACTCAACAACTGCCCTGATGTAACATGCCTAAACGAACAAATTATACCTACAAGAAGACCACTATATACCTATCTCAAACAACCATACACACCTCCACGAAAACCTCCCGAACTCTAAAAATAGCTGCTCTCTCTGTACCATTATATTTTCAGTGTGTTTGATGTAAGGAGTTGATATGTTTATGTTGTAATACCTCATTTTAACCTGTTGAAAGTCAACCTATTCAAAACAAGAAAGTTTAAATTCAATACACGACAATAACATTTGACAGATTACCAACATTAAAATAGAAAATATACCATTGACAGTTTCAACATAACCTAAAATATAATAAAATGTGATGTATGATAGCACATGTTTAGAGAATAACATTTTAATAGTGAATTAATTCAATAAAATATCACATACATGTTTAGTTGTTCAAAAAATTGACATAAGTTAAAATGTAAAATTATATAATAATAGAAAGTGTTGTAAAATTAATAACTTTAGGAACTCCTGAAGATGCTCCGAAAGGAGCGAAACCGGTAGAGTGAAAATAAACACATTTCACCTTTAAGTGCAAAATTTGTTTAATTAATATTATGTGGTTGCGTTAGCAAGCTAAGCCAGCTCCATAGTATGTATATGTTGTTAAGTTGGGGAGTTTTATCAATATAGTTATTTTAGGTGTTGGGTGGTTGGCAGTAGTTGGTTATATATTTTAGGCAGTCAAAAAGTAAAAAGGCGGTTAAACCAGTCGTTAACGGTTTTATCATCGATTGTATTCGTTAAAGAAATTTGAGATTTGTTTTGTTTTTTAAATAATAATAATAGTTTATTGGCATAAAAGAATACTACAATGTAAGTAATACATTAAAATAACTAAGTATAGAGTTTGCCAAAGGGTATTTCCATCAGTAAGCCAAATTATGGCGTCCTGGCCTTCCTGGAAATCCCAAAAACAAAATCTTCCTGGAAAAACAAAATAAAGTAATAACAAATCAAAATTAAATTCAACCTGAAACAATTATCGTGGCCGATAAGCAAAAAACGAAAAAAATATAAAAAAAGAAGAGCCTAAACAAATAAAAATTAATAAATGTCCCTAACAAACTAAAAAGAAAAAAAATATATATATATACACTAATTCGAGTTGAAGGTAGAACGACGCGCTAGTCATTAAGCAATTTAAGACGCAGAGACTCTTTAAAAGTGCGAAACGATGGTTGAGCAAAAAGCAGACTGTACTTATTCAAAATACATGCCGCGTTATAACTAAAAGACCTCTTGAATAATTGGGTACGGTGACGAGGAATGTCAATGAGGTCCTTACGCCGTATATTATGAATGTCCCTTCTGTAAGTAACTTTGTTGGTGAAGTAAGGTGGTAGCTTACTTGACACAACTTTATAAAGAAAACAACCAAAATGTAACCGACGACAACTTGACATACTCAGCCACTTCAACTCCCCCAGCTTATACGATACTCTCTGACGTCGGCGTATACCAAATATAAAACGAATACAAGAATTCTGAACTACCTGAATACGTCGCGCATCATCGGTCAACAGGCAGTGGCCGTAAATTGTGTCACAGTATGTAAAGTTGGATAAAATTACAGACTCGCAAAGATTCTTTTTAATATCGGCGTTCAAGACTTGCCTATGAGCAAACAGGCTACTAATATAATATATTAAGCTGTCGTCAATGTAAAGACCAAGATCCTTGACACAGACCTTCCTCTCCAATTCAATTCCATCTATAAAGATATGGGCCATATTGCTGACAAGCGCTTTGGATTCCCTACCCCCGAATACCATATAGACCGATTTATTCCCATTTAACAAAAGACCAGGTTTCTTGGTAATATTTAAAATTTTATCTAAATCATTGTTTACATCTGCAACAGACTCTAGCACATTATTTGAGCTAAAGCTGTGGTAAAGTTGTGTGTCATCCGCATAGATATGAAATTTTGAGCAAAAGCGGTCAAAGATCAACATTTGAGACGTATAGATAGTGAACAAAAGAGGACCCAATGTAGAGCCCTGCGGCACACCAGACCTCAATACGGCAGGATCCGACACATCATTATCAATAACCACATACTGACTTCTCCCGCACAGATAATTATTAAAAAAATTGAAGGCTGTATTATTGAACCCAATATAATGAAGAATTGCTAGGAGAAGTTGATGATTAATAGTGTCAAACGCTTTAGAGAAGTCAAGTAAAACCAAAACAGTAGCCGCGCCATTGTCCGTTGCAGACATAACATAAATAGTTGTCGAAAGTGCGGTTGCACAACTATACCCAGGCCTAAATCCTGATTGGATGGAGGGCAGAATATGAAACCGTTCCAAGTGCTCACGTATTTGTTCCGCCACGACCCTTTCCAAAATTCCCGACACAGTACTTAAGATACTAATTGGCCTCACATCCGAGAAGGAAGAAGCAGTCGATGACTTAGGTATAGGCACAACTTTGGCAGATTTCCATTTCTCAGGAAAGACACCAAACTCTAAACAAAAGTTAATTACTTGCAGGAGGTAGGGAGTTATGTGTGGACAACAGAAACCCAACATCCTAAGGCTTATACCATCAATCCCCACCACTTGACTCGACATCCTCGTCAAAATAGACATTATTAGCATAAAAGTTGTGCATATCCTGGTCGACCTCCGCAGATCGTCCCGAAATCGAAGAAAAGTACCCATTCAAAGCTTCAACATCTCTCAGACTCGTCGGTAGGCAGGGTTTTTTTTTATTGTAAGCATTCAACTTGCGCAGCTCCCTCCACAAATTTTGAGTGCTCCCAGTTCTCCTTTGCTCAGTTAAGTAAGCTCTTTTTTCACACTTAATTGCATTAGTCGTATAATTCCGCAATTGCTTATAATAGTCCCAGTGAGCTACATGATTAGTGCGTTTAAATTTATTTAAAGCTTTGTCACGCAATGACATCATCAATTTTACATTATTGGTAATCCACGGACTAGATGTGGTCCGTTATTATACAAATTGGCGCATGTATATCGAAAAGATTGGAGATATTACAGCTTAGGAAATCAACCATATCATCCACACTATCCATATGAAATATTAAATGCCAATCAATGTTGGCTAAATCCCGAGAAAATAATTCATAGTCGAAGAGTCTATACGAACGAAACGACACTGGCTTCCCAAGTTGCACCTCAGCCTTCAATTTTAATTCACAAAACGTCAGGCATGATCCGAAAGTTCGTGAACATCAATCACCTGTGAATCCACTGTGAACTTTCTTTTCGCTCGACAATTGTTGTTTATTGAACAGGTTATGGGCCTAGACTTGCAAGAATAGTCTGAGGCAAAGGTAAAGATAGTAAAAAAAACGACTGAACAAGGAACACCGTTCGTTAAATTTAATGGAGAAAATTGATCCACATGGAAGTTCCAGATATAAATTGTATTGCAACAATTGCATTGTAGCCAAAGAGTATTACGATTTGGTAATGTTTAAAGTAGAGAATCCAAAGGAGGCGGAAAAAGTTGGGGAATGAGAACTTAGGGACGCAAAAGCACACGAACAATTGGTGTGTCGAATAGACGATAAGCCGTTGAAC